AAGGAACAATTTGTATATCTCAGAATTTCGGGAAAGTCCCTAGTTTTCGAGAAAATCAAAATTTTAGTTTTTCGTAGTTCCGCCGCTCGCCGCTAGATGGCGCCACTTGTACCGTTTTGGACCGAATTCGACAAAAATTCATTTTCTGGCTTTATTAGGCATCGAAACGCATCAAACCCTAATAGAAATTTGTTTCTAAATGCCTCAGGAAACATACTATGTCGTTAAAGTGCCGAAATATTGTATTTTGCATGCGCAGTGTAATTGACATATGCGGCTCATATACGTATCCCAATGCTTGCACAAAATAATTAATTACTCATTACACATTAGTTATCATTAATAATTAATTAACTTCAATATGCTTCAAATTACATCAGAGAGCAAAATTAATTACCTTCGGAATAATTTGACCTTATCAAACTATTTTTAATTTGATTTTTATCAATAACTTGATTAAAAATTTTGCTCTGTCTGATACCTCCTTATGCCGCTAGATGCCCGTGCTTATTAAGAACCACTTAATACACTTTTCTTAATTTCCCAATATCGGTAATTCAGTTCATCGAAAATAAAATCCCATAAGACGATGCATCTATTCTGTTACTCTTCTATGATGTGATGACGCCTTTCAGTGAAATTAACCTCTTGTTCCCTGATACGATAGGTTAAGTTTTTTTTATCTTTTTTAGAGAGAAGCAGGAAAAGAATTAAAATTATGCATCTATCCAAACAATTTCTACTACTTGAATTATCCCGAAAGTTTCTTAGAGAATTCCAGTCGATGAAGAGTATTCGTAAACGTAGTTAGTGTATTGAGGTATCGTCGTCGTTGTTTTGCGTACAATTGTACACGAAGAATTATTTTCCTCGTTAATTGCATATCAAGGAAGATGTTGACGCGACACGATATAATTACGGAAAGTCCTCGCGTTGAGGCTATACCGATAAATCTTGTTACTACCGAGGATGGTAGAACGCTTTTGGCAGTGACAGGTGAGATCTCATCAACTTTTTGCGAAGTATGTTTGCAAAATTCTTTTATTTACAGAACACAAGGACGGTATGATGGAAATCGTTGCGACTCCTGTTACGCTTATTGGTCAAAACGGATCACCTGCGTCGTTGATCGATGTAAAAAATTTTAATGAAAACCTTATATTGCATTCTGTAAGTCTAGTTACCCTACATTTTGTCTTTTCTTAGGGAACGTTTATTCTCAGATCATATGTTTGTCTTAGCCTATTTTTCAACTGAACATAGAAGATATCGTTGATGGATCAGAATTGCAACAGCCTGCAGAAGATATTGAACCTGATGCAATTACCACTGAACAGTTCAAATCTCAAGTATGCACAGAGGTAAAGAGAACACCCACGAACCAAGAGTACCAGTGTCCTCCGCAGAATGATTTGTTAATTAGTAAATGTGATGAGACTGCTGTACAAAAACCGGTGAGCACAGACTTAAAAAGGAACAGCCCTGGAAGACCCAAGAAGAACTCAGCTGGTTCTTTACAGGTAATGTTTACGCTTCCAGATTATTGAACATACAATTACAACTATATACTTCTACACAGTCTTTAAACAGTAGAAAGACAAAAGAATGCATATGAATTTTTTAATCTTAGGGGACAGGCAGTTTAAAATGTGACATTTGCCATCAAGAATTCGTTAAACGGACATTGTATCGAAAACACATGGAAAATCATGCAGAAGAGAAACCACACAGATGCCCAAAGTGCTCTGCATCCTTTAATGTTCCGGTAAATCAATGATAGTAGCCAGGTATTAAGACTCAATGTGATTCAATAATGCTTGATATTGTTGTGGTAGACTAATTTCACTCTTCACATGGCGACTCACAATACGGGTGAACCAAAATGTCCAGAATGTGGGAAGAAGTTTACAAGGATGGCTAGTTTGAAGTCTCATATGTTGCTGCATGAGAAAGAGGAGAATTTGTTTTGTACCGAATGTGAAGATGCATTTTCAACTAAAGTAAGATTCAAATTCAATAACAAATAAACTGTTCTGAAGCAGAAAATAATGATTTGTTACTGACAGGCTCAGTTGGATGCGCATCTGAAGCTTCACGGAGAAAAATGGGCAACAGAAGAAGTACGAAAGTGTAAGCTATGCAATAAACAGTTTGGTCAACCGGCTTTGTACAGGCTCCACATCCGTGAACATTACAGGGTATGTAAGACTGCTTATTTTAAACCTTCTTGTCCTGAGTTGCAATTTCTTTACAGTTGCAGACAAAAGTGGTAAAGCAGACAAAGAGAGGAACGAAACATAAAACGGTGTACAAATGTACAATATGTTTAAAGTCTTTCCAAAAACCCAGTCAGTTAATGCGCCATATCAGAGTACACACCGGCGAAAAACCGTTCAAGGTAAATTCACGTTAATCTTCTACAATCGTTTTATGGACATTTGATTTACATTTGTTGTTGCAGTGTACCGTGTGCAGTCGTGCATTCACTCAGAAAAGTTCTCTGCAAATTCATATGTGGCAGCACAACGGTATTCGACCACATGCTTGCGAGCTTTGCAATGCCAAATTCAGTCAAAAAGGTGCTTTATGATTGTAGTATAAGCTTGTTGTAGTATAAGCAATCTGTTTCTATAAGTAATCTGTTTCACAGGTAATTTAAACGCCCACATAACAAGAGTTCATAACGTACCAGAGGGAGAGCCAATATATGGATGCAACTACTGTTCCTGCATCTTCAAAAAGCTAGGCAGTTTAAACGGCCACATGAAGCGCATGCATGCCGACATAGACGAGGTAAATCCCGCGTACTTTTTGAACAGCAGATCAACGTTAATCCTCGCTGTAAAATGCGATAACGATCGGAATAAGCTGTGTACGATTTTTAGGAAGGAGTCGCCACTACTGATCGCTCCGACACCGTAGAGTCCGACATACGAGCAACCGTAGACAGCGTCATAACTCAGTTGGCATCTTTAGAAGCCACCACGGAGGAAGCTGAGAAATCAAACGACAAATCGAACTCATCTGTTGGAACGAAGAAAGATATTCTGCAAGAGGCTCTGAAGAATAGTGGTCTCCCTAGCAAAAATAAAACTGCGAACGAAGGTATGCGATGCCACAAACTGCGACGAATGCTGCAAACCTATTTTTAATTAATACTATCCCGTTTACGAAGCTTATTTGTCGAAGGTACGGAAACGAAGAAACTTGGGGCGCGCACTAATTTTGTGACGTTGCTGGACCGAGCGGCTGACGGTGGCACCAGGTAATTTGTTTCACGAGGAAAATTATATTCGCTGAGTCATATTTTATATTCTTGTTCTTTTCCGTAGAAAATATTTGACTATCAAACAACGGTGCGTGGGGAACATAAGATGGTATGCGTGCACCTTCTGCCACAAGGAGTTCAAGAAGTCGTCGGATCTGATACGACATCTACGTGTACATACACAAGAGAAACCTTTCAAGGTATGCGTAATATAGGTACACATACAATATACATAGGTACACTCTTCTGTCTTGTCTGACATTTACATATTTTTATGTGTTCAGTGTACCCATTGTTATCGTTCGTTCGCTCTGAAATCCACCATGATAGCACACGAGCGCACTCATTCTGGCACGAAACGATACGCTTGCGACTCTTGCGACAAATCATTCGCGTGTCATGGAAGTTTGATTGGCCATACTAGGTGAGCCTTCGTCACATTCTTCCCGTGCATTGTCGAATCATTGATCCGAAGGTAAATACTTTTTTAGATTACACGCAGAAGCTAAGAACGACTGTAATAAGATGGCTGACGACGACAAGAATCGTACGAAAGTTCAAACTAAAAAACCGAAGTTGTCGCCTGAGGCGGAGAGCTTGGTGGGTCAGGTGGTGTTGCAGGAACCTTTGGTGATCAGTGATGCTGGGAATAAAATTTGCGTGGCGCAGATAGCTTCGAAGGAGAAACGCTATGACGCGAGTACTGATCCGGCTAGACCGCATAAGTGTTGGGTTTGTCAGGCTGCTTTTAGGAAGATCAGTCACTTGAAGCAGCATCATCGTCGTCACACGGGTGAACGACCTTATGAGTGCACAAAGTGCGACAGGTAAAGCTTCATAAATCTTGAACTAGTTAAATATTTCCATTTTAACTAGTTTAAATATTCTCACAATATTTTATATTTTAGGAGGTTCACCTCAAACAGTGTGTTAAAGTCGCATCTACACACACATGAGGATTGGAGACCCTACGGTTGTCCCACATGTGATGCAAAGTTCTCTACTCAAAGCAGCATGAAGAGGCATCTGGTTACTCACAGTAACAAAAGACCGTTCATGTGTCCATATTGTCACAAGACTTTCAAAACTTATGTTAATTGTCGGAAACACATGAAGATACATAAACACGAATTAGCACAACGGGTACGATATTTATTCTACTGATTGAGTATTTAATAAGTATTAATAAGCGTTGATTTTCTTTCTTTCCAAGTAGCAGTTGGAGCAACAGAAAATGCAAGAACAGTCGAACCAGTCGGTATTGAAGGAAGGTTCCAAAGAAACGATCCTTGAGTCGAGTACTTTTCCTAATGCTACTAGTACAAACGACGTTAATGCACCTATTGTTACAACGTCCGCTCCAACGTTCACGGACAATCTCACCTTTTCTCGCCTTGGAACGGTTGAGATATCTTTTCAGTCGCAGCTCGGTTCTGATTTTTCGCAAACTTTCACCGAGCAGGATAAGACGAGACCACTTTTATCTGGAAACTGTGAACCTTCAACTTTTATTAATCGTATGGTTATTATGTTACATAACTTTATTGTTTATAGGTTTGGTACTTTACTGTGTCTGTTTTAGATAATGTGTCGGAGACTGTGATGGCGAACCTTGAGAACTCACAGATGTTGCATGCTGATGAGACTGGGTCTGTTACTTTGCCAGTTTATCCTGGTGATCAAGCACTCACACCGGTACATATTGTTAATAGGGAGAGTATATATTGAACTGTTTATTTTGAAAGTGTCCACTTGCAAGTTAAATCACACAAGTGTCCACTTCTAGTTAAATCACCCAAAACAAATTTGCATAATGAAATTACATATCAGTAAAAAAATTGCTGAACTGTCAGTCTTGACATAACCTACATTTTCATTGACATATATGCTAACCTTTAATTTCCTCAAAATAAATGAAAATGGACTTTCAAAATAAACCACATAATATAGATTGTTCTATTAATTTTCACGTTTACAGGAGAGCATACGAGAAATAGAGGAGACGTTGAACCAACAGTTTTTCAACATAGGAATGAACATAACTCTAGGAAATAATTCTAGAAATTCTAACGACGTGAGCACGAATGATTTTGATAGTACAAAGCAGCAGCGACAAACCGTGTTGAATGTCATGTATGAGAATAATGGTAATGACACTAGTAACAACACTAACAATAATAATGACGGTGGTAACAACGGTGTGGAACCATCAGCAGAACGTGTATTCTCTTCGCAGTTGGATTCGTTCGAGATTGATCATATCGCGTTGCAAGTAAGAGTATATCACATTAACAAATATTGTGGAAGACTGATTGTTGTTTTTCTAGTCGGACACTGAAATCGATATTGGATTGGACACGAACGACTCAACGAGTATGACAAATATACTACCCAGAACTGTAAAAGAGGATCGTCTTTCCGAAGTCGATCAATCAGTGAAGTCCAGGGTGATGGTCATTTCTCAGGAAAAGAATCCAAGGAAAGAAGTAAACGAATTGGAAGCTGAAGAAGCCATTCAAAAGCAAAGCTCACTGCTCTTGGTGTAAGTGTCTTCTGTTTAACCTGACATACTGTAACGAGGGAATGGAATAGAATTTTGTGTGCAGAGAAGATTTCCGGGGAACAGAAGAGAAGAATCAGAAAGTACACACATCAGGTTTTGCGGAAATTGTCAACGGCAAAATGCAGAGGGAATCTTCGCTGCAATGTCACATGTGTAATCAACGAGGATTCACAGCGAGTGGATTGAAGGTATCACTTCTCACTAATGTGATTATGTACATCAGAACTAACAGCTCGTTTTTGATCCTAGGAACATTTGAAGACCCATCGCGAAACTAAGGAGTATCAGTGTACGGAATGCTCTTCAAAATTCTGTACGAACGGTGGCCTCAACAGGCATTCAAAGATACATGTTACTAAACAGTAAGTAGGTTAGGTTAGGTTACGTTACTAAACAGTGAATAAATGTTAGCGTTTTAAGTAGATTAGCTTTAACTAGTTAAATTAGCTTAATTAGGTTAGGTTACTAAGTGAGTAAATAGCTTTTCAAGCTTTATTAGTAAATGTGAATAAACGTTAGTTCCAATTTTATCTTCCCAGTTATTGATAATTAATTAATTTTTCAGGTCATGGAAGTGTTCCTCCTGTGACAAATACTTTGACAACAGAACAGAGCTACAATCCCACAACGAAATTCACGAGATCTCTATTTGGAACGCCATATCAAGGCCACAAAATACGGAAAGCTCAGATTTACCGAACGATTCTTTAACTGACATCGCGATGGACACCGACTCCGCAGTTTCCGAAAGAGTCCTACTGGACACCGTAGCAGAAAAAGAAGCGATGGATCAAATAGAAGCAAGCTACACGGTATGCTAAGAAAAGAGAAAGCTCTAAGATGTCACAGTAACTGTAACCTTTATTTTAGAACCCAGAGAGAAGGGAACGAAAGGAATACACGAATAAGTGCAAATTCTGTCCAAAAACCTTTCGCAAACCTAGCGACCTCATAAGACACGTGCGTACACATACGGGTGAACGACCGTACAAGTGCGATTTCTGCAACAAAAGCTTCGCCGTGAAATGTACTCTGGACTCGCATACGAAAGTTCACACAGGGAAGAAGACGTTTAGGTGCCACGTTTGTAACAGCATGTTCGCGACCAAGGGTAGTCTGAAAGTGCACATGCGGTTGCATACAGGTAGGTGACATGACATACAAAATTATCAAGACAACATTTTTTATAACATTTGTTTCTTAAGGTTCGAAGCCGTTCAGATGTCCGGTTTGCGACTCGAGGTTTAGGACATCAGGTCACAGGAAGGTACACTTACTGAAGCACGTGCGCGAGCACAAGGAGCGACCAAAAAGGAAACAGAAGCACATGAAGGTTGCGGCCATAGCGGAAATAGCGGCAGATTTAGAGAAGCTAGGTAGAACCATAGGAAAGACTTTCGAATCCGATCAGCAGCTCTCTCGACCGTTGGAGACAATCAGCGTCGAAGCAACCGCCTGTTTGACCGACCAGATCAACTTCGAGACCGACGTGGACCCTAACATCGTGCAGAGTAACAATTCAGTGATGACCACGAGTGAAGGCAATCAGTTAGTTACCAATCTACACTTCCTGCTAACCAACGGACTCGTGACCATCCAAACCGACGAGTCGTTGTTGTCGCAATCGACGATCAACAACGCGTACAATCGTTCAACTGTGCCTACTGATTCTATGTGCGTGCCACTCTGCATCTCATCCGGCATCAACGAGGATCACACCAAGGAAGAGGCTCGCACGGGACAAGTGTTGAAGGCGCAGTTATCGTCGGTACAGGTGGAGCCACTACCCAAAGTCCCGCTCGATAAATCCCTGCCGACGGGGAGCAAGGCTAGCAAAGGCAACTCGAGGAAAGAGTGTGACGTCTGCGGGAAGACGTTCACGAAGCCGTACCAGGTTGAGAGGCATAAGAGAATTCACACGGGCGAGAGACCGTACAAGTGCGACCTCTGCACGAAATCGTTCGCTCAGAAATCTACTCTGCAAATGCATCAGAAACATCACACGGGAGACCGGCCGTACGCTTGTCCGTACTGCGAGTACTCCTTCACGCAGAAGGGCAATCTACGAACGCACGTGAAGCGGGTGCACCAGTTGGATACGATCAACGTCAAGAAGTTGAAACGTGGTCGCCAGTATTTTCTACCTAAGTCTCTTCAGGACAGCGTGGTCGAAACGAAGACCTTGAACTTGGACGACGTACCGTTCGTTGAATTCCTTAAATAGCATACTGTGTATGATTGAATTGGACTTGTATCGATTTCGTTACTTCAATTTATTGCGGTCAGCTACGATAGAGACAATAAATGATACGTATTTAATATTCACCGAGGAGATTCTTCCCTACCGAAATTTACATCTTTTGTATTTTGCATCAACATAAATTGGACATATTGCATACGTATACATATATGTGTCTTGGACTTCCATTGGCATTATCAAAATAATCTATGTATGAACATTTCCATCGTACGAAAGTGAAAATAAATTTCTAACACCATCAGTGTTTATAGTTACATTCTGTGTCAATCGCCGGACAACCATTTGGATGATTCTCGTGGAACCAGCAGGGCTTGGTTTTAGTGCGTGGCGCCACAAAATTCTTTCTCGGTCGTCTGACCTGCTGTTTCGTCCCAGGTACTTTGAACTGCACTTTTCCTTTGGCGACGCAGAAAATATGGCTGTGGTTTCTGAGCAAGGTTTGAAGACCTCCGCATTCTTTTCGCAGACGCAACATCGTTTCCCTCGGTATCGATTCCGCTATTTCGCCTAATTCTAGACATCGACCCGCGTTCCAAGTTCTTGACTGCTTCTCGAGAGAAATGACACGCCCTTCGTTAAGTAACTGATTCGCAACCGTGTCTACAATATTCTTGATCAACATTTTGTCCAACTGCGTACAGTTTCTCACTCTTTCCACCGTGTCCCTCGGTTTGAAGTCACACGTCCATTCACTGATCGTTTTCTCTTTCTCCTCCCGTATCAGCGTCGTCTTCTCGCTCAACAATCGTTGTATGCGATCTTCAGTCATACTTCTCTCTTCGTGTATTCTTTCCCAGCCGATCAAACAGATACGCTTCGTAGATGGGATTCTTAGCTTGTCAAGATACGTTTTGAAGCCACACTCGTTGCTCAGATTTTTTACGTATTCGATGTACTCGGAGTACTGACTTTTGGAGGCGCAGCATCTCTGATACTTAGTACCGTTTAGCTCGTATGGACAACAGGGTAACAAGAAGAAACGGCAATCACTACGAGCTGCTATTACTGGGATCCATGGTGTCAACTCATCCGAATGGTTTCCAATGATCCAGTCGTATCCTGTGTATACTGTTGCGGATGAAGGAATCACCGTAGACACCTAATAAAATTATTTACCCAATAAAATCTGTATAACAATCTGCACAATTATATAAATTACAAGTACATACCTGTAACGGTGTCTCAGGAGGGTAAAAGTCCCAAATTTTTCTTCGTCGCAAATCGATTCCCAGTCCGCGGTGACCCTCGCTGAACAAAATGTGCACGAGTAAACCATTACCGCATCCCAGATCAAGAAACGATTGTAAGTCATTTGTTCCTTTTTCTGTACGCTCCTTCTCCCAAACCAAGAGCAGGTAGGCAGCTATAGCGATATCTTCATAAACGAATTTTAATGGATCCGTATTTTCAGGCCAATTCTTTATCAAATTCATGCCGTACTTCTCTTTCAACTGACAATACAACTTGGCATATTTTTCAGCTGATATGAAACTTAATGAAGAGAGGGTTGATACGTTTTTCGACTCATTTTTCATCCATTTTAAAATACATGGAAAGAGCTTCTTTTGTAACCACTCTATACTTGATTGTTCTTGTATAGTGTTTAATTTATATACACCAATGAGTGACTTATCCAGTTTTTGCTGTATCGTGTATGGTATTCTGGGACCAAGGGGCCGTTTCTCAGAAAGAGGTTTATGAATATTTATGGTATAATTTTCTTGCTTTTCTAGCAACAGAAATTCGATACCAGCAGAAAATATATGTGGCATGCGGGGTAATTGTTTGGTTACATACAACCAAACATTCTTGTTGGAGTCTACATCAGATGTTTGCGAGATATGCAATATGTATAACAACTTTGCACCGTTAATACTATCACTCTGATCTTCCCTTGATAAAAGTGAAACATCCAAGGTATTGATACGGTTAAAAATTTCGAAGATATCGCAATTAATTTCTATGTTCAATATTTCGCTGGATGCAAGAATGTTACGGTTGATGGCTTGAGGATTATGGGACCAAATATTCACAGCTTTATGAAACTGTGAAGCATTGCCTCCAGGTTCTTCACTTATTATAGTCATACAATCCATTGTTTAAACGAAATTGTTTAAAGCTTTTTTTTGCTAAAAACATTAATAAATTACATAACTTGCCTATACAATAGAAACATAAGTACTAAATTCACTATTTTTGAGGCCTTTTCTGTTCTCCCGTTTTAACGTACTGAAAAATATATGAAGATATTAATATATATACTTATATGTATATTGTTGAAACGTTTAATATAAAATACCTTATTTATAACCCATTCTGCATCATGCATTGCCTTTTCCATAATTTGTTGTACACGTTCCTTATCTGGTTCAATCACGTGTTGTTTGAAACTCTATGTATAAAAGATCTCAATTATTTTCGTTAAACAAATAATGTATTTACATATGTTTCATAAAATTAGTCATCAAAAAAGGTTATGCACTAGGTCTACAAATACACGAGTTATTGTTGTGCAAGTACTATTGTTTTCTTGTTATTAATACCGTTTTACAATTAGTACCTGTTTAATTGAATGTTTATAATACTGTTGCGCATCTTTCGGTAGCCTTTCACATTCTCGTATTAAAAACTTATAAAGTTGTTTCGGAGAACTCAAAGCCGCGTGTCGCAATTTCGTACTAGCCATCTTAGAACGAAGAGTTGGAAGAAATAATTCTCCCGTATAAATAATATATAATTTAAATCTGGATTCCAATGAATGGACTTTGCCGGTATTTAAAACTATCTACGCAGAAGTCTGCAAGTTTTATTAATAATTGTACATATACAGTTCTCAGTTTGCGAATGCGAGAGTAGTTTCCGGAAGGCGAACGTTCAAATTTTGTTCGCTTTGCGCATGTCGCAGTCTATACGATTACAAGTTTATATATCCAGTGACCTTTTTCATTCAATACATTCTTACTTCATCGCTTCTTCTTGCTATAGATTATATTTCTGTTCACTGTGTATATAAGCATGAGGTAAAAGCAGCCGGTACTGAACAGCTGATGAACTTCGAGTTGCGCAGAAGAAATACACTTTCTCACGCAATAAATAGCGTCCATACTAATCTATGGCAACATTGAGCAATAGAATTATATTGTATAGTCAAGTTTTTAGTGAGATTAAAACATGATAAGTTTACATCAACGTCTCACAAGAATTTTATCAAAATGTAACGGAGGATTATTGAAAAATGCGACGTTGAATCGTTTTAAAAGCAGTAAAATAAAACGTCAAACCGCAGGAATTATCGGTAACACGTGTTTACCAATACTTTACACGTTCGATTCTTGTTTGTTTCCAAGCAAGTTTTTCACTTGTCGTTTAATTGTTTCTTATGTTTAGTTATCGGAGATGAGATTTTAAAAGGACAAGTGAAAGACACGAATTCTTTTTATGCGTCCGAGTTACTGTACGGATATGGAGTCAAGGTTCAGAAGGTAAGTTTGTATTCACCTGCACTACTTTCTTTATTATTAATTTTTATTGAAACTTGTTATTTTTCCCTAGATTACCATTGTACCAGACAGTGTCGCAGACATAGCAACAGAGATAAAATGTTTTTTAAAGAGATTTGATTATATTTTTACGTCTGGTGGTATAGGACCAACTCATGATGACGTTACGTACGAAGGTAAATTACAACAAACAGTACACAAAAGGATACAAATTTCTATGTTGATATTTTTACAGCCATGGCATTAGCCTTTAATGACACTTTGCATTATCATCCACTATTAATGGAAATCGTAAAAAAATATTTAAACAATGGAAGTGTTCCTTTGACACGTTATAAAATGGCATATGTAAGTGACAGTTGATTGGTAACATTACGATTACTGAAAGTAATTTATCCATCATTTATAGGTACCAACTAAATCGATACTGAGATTTGGAAGAAACAGTGCTACAGGAAAGTTATCTTCTTACCCTTGTATAGTCATGGAAAATGTTTATATATTTCCTGGGTCACCAACATTTTTCAAACCATCTTTTCGTTCTGTGTGCAAGGTATGCTTCGTAGCAGCCAAAAACATGCAACTCCTTTAACAGAAATAATATTGTTTCCACAGGACTTATTTGTTAGATACAAGAAATTTGTGATGACTGAAATTTACATAAATGCAAAAGAGGAATCATTCGCGGATATTCTGAGCCAAGTTGCAGAAGAATGCCCGAATGTCTCGTTTGGCTCGTATCCAGAAGTTAATAGGTAGTGAAAACGTATACATTGAATACATATGGCAGAGTTATCGCATCGGATCATAGAGTAAGATTTTTAAATATCGTTTCAGGCATTACAAAGTGCGCATAACTATAGAAAGCGGGAACAAGAAAGATACCGAAAATGCGAGGAAAATGTTTTGCGATCGCCTTCCAAGCAACGCATTGGTTTCTTACGACAGTACACCTCATGTTGATTGCCTTAAAAAGTTCGAGAAGCTACTGAAGGAGTCCCCTCGTCCGCTTTATGAGAATACGTTGAAGAAATTCGTGTAATGCCTCTTCAAGTGGAAAAAAGTATCGATTACTAGTATTATCACTTTGAGGACGTCATCGAATTTTTGTCTTCTTTTCCTTTTCTTTCCTTACAGAGAATATTATGAAAAGCCTGGAGAAGTATGGATATATTTGGACGGCAGTGAGGAATCGATCATGATGGTGCATCTTGCTCGTGTGACTGAAGACAAATTGCAGCGATCGAACAGTAGATTGCGCGCGATTTGTTCAAAATCGGACGCAATGAATCGATTTTTCCGAGAACTCTGTGACAGGTGAGAAGACATCAAGTACAGAAGTATGAGCAAGTTGTTTGAAAATAATTGCTTTGTTAGATACAACGTCGAATTATATAATTTACTATGCGACGAAATCAATGCTCCAACGGAGATAAAAAATTGGATGTCGAGAGCGGAATCGCGAATATTGCTAGTTGGAAAACGTTTGAATGGCAACGAAAGAGAAACTTACGATAATCTTGCACGGTTGAACGAGGATATTTCCGTCCCTGTGCAAATACATTTTCCTCTTATCGATTGGACGAACGAAGATGTCGCGAGTTTCTTCAGCTCTCTCTCTTTACCTCATTACACGATAGAAACTCAATCAAACTGGTAAGGAAGAAAAATTTCGTCTCTTTATCCTAGTCTCGCCAGCTTGTTGGCTCACTCGTTCTCTCCCACTCCTCGATCCTCCCTCTTGCCATCCCTTCCACCGACTCTAGTGCCCTCTCCATCGTTGTTTCACGCACATACGCGTACTTACCTCTCGTTCTTCTATGTACACGAGTGTAATCTACTTTTGTAGGTAAAAAGATGGGAATCGAAGCAAAGTAACAACACGAGAACCGTGTTGCAACGTTGGCGAAATTGAAATCGAGGCGACGTTAATTCGAAGCGGATTTCGTAATCATAGGTTGATCAACAAACACGCAATCCGAGTTTTTTCTCGGCAGGAAACATGAATAAATTAAACAAATAAAAGAATATTACTGGAAATTGTTTTAAAATCATTTTCGTTGGCAATGGGTACTCTCGCATCGATCCTGCGAACGTTTGAAATCTTTAGATCGAAATGAGCTTAGAAATTCTTTATCAAGTGGGTGGGGTCACGTTTTTCACTTGCTTGAAAGAAGCGAAGGAGAGTGAAATCGAGGAAAACCATCTTCCCTCTCCATCCCTTTGAAATTTCATTTCGAGTTAAAGTATTTCTAGCTTTTTTTCTTTTGAAAGTTTAAAATGAGAGTGGGTGGTAGTTGGCCGGTGGGTGGTTAACGGGGCGGTACATTGACCGAGTATATGCGTATATAGAGAGCGAGACGGAGAAACAGGTAGAGAGAGAGAAAGGGGGAAGAGAGAGAAAAAGAGAACCAGTGAGGAGGGGGACGCTACTAGCAAAGCAACGCCCATGGTTCCGCGTTTGGCGGGCCGCATTTTGTGGATCGGTCATCACTTTGCTACGCACAAAACCCCATATATTTCCTCCGCATTATGTTATTCAAATCTAATCTATTCATAGAACCCCTCTATATTCTCAGTTAGATTTCATGAGACATGTTGTAAGGGGAAGGTTCAATTAATAGACACACATTGAGACAAAAAATAAAGTACAAAGATAAATAAATAATTTATTTCTCGTCAAAAATATTGACTGGTCTTTTTATTAAAAAAAAATATATAACCTGTAAGCCTGTACATAGGATTCCTGTGAGAAAATTAAAAAATTTAATAATCTAGCAAAAAGCAGTCTAGAAATTAAAAAATCTGGCAATTAAAAAATTATCATTTTGAGACAGAAAATAAAGTAAATGTATAATTCGTCAACTGTCAAAATATTGACTGGTCTTTTTATTAAAAGAAAAAATATAACCTGTATGGCTGAGCATTGGATTCTAGTGAGAAAGTTAAAATATTTAGCTATTTAGCAAAAAGCCATCAAGAAATTTAAAAATCTAGCAATTAAAAAATTATGAAGCACTCTGCTTTCCAAAATGAAAGACAAGTGGCTGAGTAAAATCTTTGTAACGGGAATTAGGTGGCGGAGGAGTAGGGGGAGTATTAAGAGAGGTTTACATAAGAGGCCCTAAGTCCCAGTAGTGTAAACGCGTCTTTAGGGTGTAAAAGAAAGAGGTGTGAAAGATCGAACAGAGAACGAGGCGAATGACAGGTTGGTCGTGGGTAAATCGCAGGTAAAGTTGGCGAAGACGAGGAGGACGGTGGTGAGTGTGGCTGTGGCTGTGGCTGTGGCGGCGGCGACGATGGCGGCGGCCTAGACCGACGGAGCGTGGTCGATGGCAGTGGTCGCGTGCTGGTCGCGTGCCGGAGGCGGAGCTAAGCTTCGACTCTCTCGTGTGCCACCTCCACCCTAAAGTTCGTGGTCCCTGTTGCACCCTCCAGCACCCTCCAACACCCTCCCGGAACGGCACGGAGCTCTTCTACCCGACACGACGCCCCTCGGTACTCTTTGGTTCCTCGCGTCTCCCCTTCTCCGGTTCCCGAATCTACAGCCGCTTCCTCGTCGGTTATTGATTCCCTCGGGTAGCTAGTCCCGAAAAGGGTGCTAAAATAGGATGAGGACGATCGAAGGAACGAAAGCGAGAAGACGTAGAACACCGTGCGACAGAGATCGTCGCGGGAGGGGACCGAATTATTCCAAGATACAGGGACACTTTAACCTCCTCGAAGATGCTTTTTTTTAAGGTTAGAATTAATTTTATTTTCTATGACAGCTTTTATTCGTGGGGGCTTTTAGAATTTATGGTGAAAGGGTCACTTAGGTGACCTTTGGATGTAAAAGCAAAATAGTATTTAACATGAACGGATAAGGAATTGAGATAATCTTTAACATGCAAGTCATTTTTTTCTTGTATCTGAAATTGCATAGTGTTAACGTAAACAATTGGCGCGAACGTCATCGATCGATTTATCGATTTCGTTCGATGCGGATCACCGCCATATTGAAAACTGTCAGATAGAAGTTTCTAGAAAAATGAAGAATAACTTTTCGTTCGAATAAAAATTCGTAAGTACACATGAAAGCAACTTTTATGAAACATCGAATAATTTTTAATTTAGAAAGTTTTATGTAGAACAAGATGTCAATTAAAATTTAATTTCAACGGTTATTTTCGAATTATCGAATTTCTAGAATCTACATTATATATAAAAATCGATGCTTCAATAATTGATCCAAAAATGTCAAACGAATTTCTCGATTCACGTCTTCATTTTATTAGAAATTTTGAAGGTAATAACGTGCAACGATAACTTACCATTTATTCGCGCGCAAAAAGAACATTGAGAAAGCGTAAGACGTAATGGTACTATAAAGCTTTTGGGGGCTCTAACCTAACCTAACATCGAGCAATGAAAATTGCGGTTATTAAATAAAGCAGTAAGGTACTTTATGGAACAAAGAATATTATTCAAGGAAGAACAATATTTCAATAATACGGTAAAACAATAATTTCGTGTTAAGTGGGATCGGGCATCTATCTCCCGTGAGACGAGTGAGCGCTGACGACGCAGATGTGCGTGTTTTTATGCACGTAGAGTCACGGACAAGGATAGATTACCAGAAATCGTTTTGATCTGGTCGGACATATTACCTTATTCTTCTGAGGAAGTTCAGAAGGATGCAATTTTGTACGCTATTGAATATTGTAATATTTTACAAATTATTTGGTGACGTAATTTTATTAATAATTTTCACTACTGTTTATTTGTAATATTATAGAATTAGTTAAAAAGTTATTTCAATTTAATGTAATGTTGAACCAAGGGAATTCAGGGGAAATAGATGACTGGGAATTATAGGGGGAAAACTATCTATACAAATTTATTAGTATTTTTATTAATTATGGAAGTTGTGTAATATAGTGAAATTTCAGTGTGGTGATAATGAGTGTAAGAAGCTTAAAAAAGCTTTGATTTATCCGTGATGTTATCTGCTCTTCAAAGTTCTCGTTTGCGTAAACTTGACGTATCGAGAGCTACCCTCTTGAATCTCGAAATTGTACACTCTATCGACCTTCTCGTCCTTCCTGTTCGCTTTTTCCCTGTTCTCTATCTCCCTACACTCTTTCTCCCCGTCCCCTATCTCCCCGTTTTCTTCTTTCTCTGTTCCCTGTCTCCCTATACTCTTTCTCCCCGTTCCCTATCTCCCTATACTCTTTCTCCCCGTTCCCTATCTTCCCGTTTCCTTCTTTCCCTGTTCCCTATCTCCCTATACTCTTTTTCCCTGTTCCCTATCTCCCTATACTCTTTCTCCCCGTTCCCTATCTCCCCGTTCCCTTCTTTCCCTGTTCCCTATCTCCCTATACTCTTTCTTCCCATTCCCTATCTCCCTATAATCTTTCTCCCCGTTCCCTATCTCCCTATACCCTTTCTCCCCCGTTCCCTTTCTTCCTATACCCTTTCTCCCCATTCCTTTTCTCCCCGTTCCCTTCCTCCCCGTTTCTCTTCCACCTACCCTCTTTCTCTCCATCCTTTTCGATCTCCCCTTTATCTCCCCATCACTTATCCCACCTTCTCCCAATTTTCCTCGCGTCCGAAGCTTCTCTCGCCGCTCTCCCGCGTTCGATCATCTTCGTTCCCTTTCGCGTGCATTTTATCCAGCGTCGTCGAAGCCGTAGTTCCGCGCGATTCAACGGCATAACCTATTTTACTTTCGAAAACTCGACGGATCAATACTAACGGGAATGCGACGAAGACGAGCGAGCAGACGGAGAGAATTGCGCAAAAGGAACAACGAACGACGACGCTCGTTTTCGCGCTCGATTCCGTCGATTTTAAGACCTATGAAAAATCGATCGGTCGGTGGACTGCGTCCGATGCTCGTCGGACATCGAGAGGATCGCGTGGTCGATCCGTTCGAGCGGAATCGATAAAGATCGAGTGGCCTGGGTGGCTAGACGAGCGTAGTGGCCGCAGGTAGCAAGAACCGGTCAACTATATACTGCCGCTCTGGTACCGTACGACGCATAAACACTGGCGATCGAATCTTTGAAAAGAGTTTCGGGTTGCGGCACGAGACCGTCAGCTGGTGAGCAGGGCCCGTTCGGTTTTTTTCCCCTTTGTTCTCCGGACGATTTCTCTCCTCGTTTTCGAAGCAGTTGCTTCGGTGTTGCACGTTCGCAGCTTCTCGAGACGCCGTTCTGCACGCGAGATATCGGGGGAGTAAATTTCGGGGAAACGGTGCTTCAGGGAGAATGTTTCGGCCAGAGTTTATTCGAGTTCAGCATGGAGGCATTTGGGGGTGTAGCGATTTGGGGATATGGGGATTTTTAGTTTAGGGAATTGGGGGTTTGGAGATTTGGGGATATAGGGATTTGAGGACTAGGGATTTGGAAGACTAGGGATTTGGGGATTTAGGAATTTGAGGACATAGGGGTTTGGGGAGTCTAGGGATTTGGAGGACTAGGGATTTGGCAGTCTAGGGATTTGGGGATTTAGGAATTTGGAAGACTAGGGATTTGGGAAATTGGAATCTTGGAATTTGGGAATCTAGGGATTTGGGAATTTGGGAATCTAGGGATTTAGGAAATTTGGAACTTGGGAATCTAGGGATTCGGCGATTTGGGGATTTGGGGAATTTGAAATTTGGGAATCTAGGGATTTGGCGATCTAGGGATTTGGGAAATTTGGGAATCTAGAGATTTGGGAAATTTGGAATTTGGGAATCTAGGGATTTGGGAAATTTGGAATTTGGGAATCTAGGGATTTGGGAAATTTGGAATTTGGGAATCTAGGGATTTGGGAAATTTGGAATTTGGGAATCTAGGGATTTGGGAAATTTGGAATTTGGGAATCTAGGGATTTGGGAAATTTGGAATTTGGGAATCTAGGGATTTGGGAAATTTGGAATTT